TGATTGTGTTCAATGCTTTGTATTTTAATCTTTGTGTTTGTATACTTTGTATTTTGCTTCCTCAATTTTTCCCTCAATGACTCAAAGATTATTTTTATTCTGCTCTCTCTTATCTTCCATTCCCTTCTTCCAAAATATAAAAAGATAGGCAATGGACAGGGGAATAAAAAGACATTTTGGGATAAATATTTGAAAAAAAATTTTTTTCATTTAGGAATGATGTAGAAATACTAAAAATACTAAAAATATTTATTTGACAGAATATAAAAAACACTAAAATCTAAAAACCATTTTAATTTTTCTGAACCAAAAAATAAAAAAGAAATATTGACATAAAATCTAAATTATGCAATGCACAAAACCATGCATATTTAAAAGCATTAAAAATTAGGAAAAAAGATGCCATCTTACAGGCAAAACATGACCTTTGAACTGTACCAAGGCCATCAGATATTCAGAAAGGACAGAAAAAAAGGACTCAAAATAAGAAATAAGTAATAAAAATCTTCTGATATTTGAACTTATCCTCTTCTCTAAAAAAATACCAATTTACACTATTGCTTATGGTAAAATAGAGATTTACTTCATGTATCTATTTTCCTGATAAGCACAACTAAACCCCCTAGACATCATGTATAATACAAATATAAGAAGTTTCTGAAAGTTGGAGAGAAGAAAGCAAACTGCCTAGGGACCTCAGTACACAAGGAATAACATGAGTTTTCCTTTTTTCCTACATATCCTAGAGAATATTCTGGAAATGCCAGTGAAAGTAGATAATGAAAGTTCTGTGGAAAGCCTGCTTTCTCTAGCCAACAGATGAGGAAAATGGTAGCCTAGTAAAACAAAAATGTTTAGTCAATAACTCCTTAAGTTAAATACCACAGGGAGAAAACAAAACAAAACAAACAACAACAAAAAAACCTCTTCACACTGGTGAAGACTCAGTGGAAAGTGTAAACAACTATCATTGCTGACTATAACAAGCTTCCCAAATTCTGATTCTGGGGTGGAACTGGAGTGCTAACTGTGGAATCAGGAATTTCAAGCCCCTGATGGGCAGTAGCAAGCCACATCAGGTAATCGGCAGAGCCCATCTGAAGAACCTGGACTTCTGCCCTCATCAATAGGATAATTCCTCTCCTTGCTTTAGAAATGTCAGAGGAGGCCCAGAGAGTCTGGGCTCTCACCACTACTCGATGGTAAAAAGACCACTGCCAAAGAGTGTGGTGGAGGTTATTTGGGGAACAGTAAGCCAGGGCGCTATGAGCAGAGGCCCAGAACCCAGCCAACACCCCCCACTTAAGCAGTAACAAGAAGCCCTTGCCCTTCTGTGGGTGTCAACAGACATTAATAGGAGAATGTGGACTTTCTTTACTACCTAGAGAATCCAGAATCTTGAAACATAATACTCAATGTGTCCAGATTTCAATAGAAAACCACTCATCATACCAAAAACCAGGAAGATCTCAGACTCACTAAGAAATGACAATCAACATGCACTAACAGAAAAATAACACAGAAGTTAAAATTACTTGATGAGCATTTTAGATCAATCACCATAAAAATGCTTCAACAAGCAATTACAAACATGCCTGAAAAAGTAGAAAAAGAAAGTCTTTGCAGATGAATAGAAGATAAAAGACCAAAATAAAAATTAAAGAACTAAAGATAAAATAAACAAAATGAAAAATGTCCGTGGATTTCAACAGTAACTAGAGGTAACAAGAGAATTTAATAAACTAGAAAAAAAAGAGCACTAAAAGCTACTTAGTTGGAGCAATAGATAGAAAATAGATTGAAAAGGGAAAGGAACAGAGTCTCAAGGGCCCATGAGACTATAACAAAAGATATAACTTTTGTGTCATTCAAGTCCTGCAAGAGAGGACAAAGAGAAACTGAAAAAATATTCCAATAAATAATGAATGGAAAAGCCCAAATTTGGCAAAAGACATAAACTTTTAAAATCAAAAAGGTGAGAGGACAACAATAGTTAAATTTAAATAGATGTATGTCTAAACATGTTGTAGTAAAATTTATGAAAACCAGAGACATAAAAATCCCGAAGAAACAAGAAACAAGCACTGGTGTGGGAAGAAATGTCTACTGACAGAGATTTCTCATCAGAAATCATGGAAGTCAGAAGGGTTCCAGTAGCACAATATTTTTCAACTATGGAAAGAAATGTTAACCCACAGTTCTATATCCTATATGTGGAAAAAACATTTTTCAGGAAAGAAGGGGAAATATAGACATTCTCAGATAAAATAAATAAATAAATAAATAAAAGAATTTGTCACCAGCTGACCTACCCTAGGAGAATGAATTAACTAGTTTTCTAGTGAGAAAGGAAATTAAAAGAAGGAATCTTAGAATTATCAGGAAGGAAGAAAAAGCAAGATGGAACAAAATTAGGTGTAAAACAGGGACAGATGGAGAAGTCATAGAGAAAGTAATGGGTTTCTTTTTGAGTTGAAGAAAACTCCTAAAATTAATTTGGATGATGGTTACATGGATCTATAAATACACTAAAGGCCACTGAATTAAATGCTTTGGTGAATGGAACATGAGTTATTTCTCAGTAAATCTCTTTTCAAAACTCAGCTGATGAAATTGCAGTTGCTATGAAAGGGGCACAAAGCAACTTTCTGAACATGCTGGGAAAGTTCTATGTCTTGATCTAGATGATGGTAACACAGATGCATGTTTACATTAATCAAAATGAAAATCAGGTCAAACAAACTGGAAATCCATATGGAATAAAATAAGATTTAATTCCTATCTTTCCCCCTGCACAAAACTCAATTCAAAGTGGATCAAGACCTATGAGGTATTAGACCAGAAACACTGCACCTACTAGAAGAAAATGTAGGCCCAACACTCCAACATGTCGTCTTAGGAATCAAGTTCCTTAATAAGACTCCTAAAGCACAAGAAGTAAAATAAAAAATCAATAAATGGGTTGGTATCTCACAAAAAAAGTTTCTTCACAGCAAAAGAAACAATCAAGAGAGTAATGAGAGAGCCTATGAATGGGAGAAAAATCTTTGCCAACCATACCTCACATGAAGATACACAAGGAACTAAAACAGCTTAACACCAAAACCAAAACCACAACGAAAACATTCAAATAACACAATCAATAAGTGAGCAAAGGCACTAAAAAGACAATTCTCAAAAGAAGAAATACAAATAGTCAACAAATATATGAAAAAATGTTGAGCATCTCTAGCAATTAGAGAAATGCAAACCAAAGAGAAAATAAATGTCAAAATACACTTTGAAACTCAAAAACAAGAAACACTAAGATTTCACCTCACTCCAACCAGAATGGCAATTATCAAGAATACAAGCAAAAACAAATGTTGGTGGGATGTGGGGGAAAGGCTACACACATATATTATTGATGGGACTGCAAATTAATGCAAACACTCTAGAAAACAGGATGAGATTCCTCAAAAAACTAGGAATGGAACCATTATTTGATCTAGTTAGTCCATTCTTCATTTTTTACCCAAAGGTGTTAAAATCAGCATATTTTATACAATGACAAGTTTCATCAGTGTTAAGAGCAGCATATTTCAGTATACCTAAGCTATGGAAACAACCTAGAAGCTTATTAGAAAAAGAATAGATAAGGAAATTGTGGTATATATACACAAGGGAATGTGATTCCTCCATAAAGAAGAATTATTTGCTGACATTTGCCAGTAAATGGATGGATCTGGAGACTATCATGTTAAGTGAAATAAGCCAATCCCCCAAATCCTAAGGTTGAATGTTCTATCTGATATGTGGATGCTAACCACAATAATGGGATGGGGAAGAAAGAAGTTCATTGCATTAGAAAAAGGAGAATGAAGTGAAGAGAGGGATAGATGGAAATGTAAAAGTCACTGGAATGAATCTGATATAACTTTCCTATGTACAGATATGGACATACCATAATGAATCTCATCCTGTACATGCACCAGACTAGGATCCTAATTAGAATAAGATATATTCTGTGCTTGTCTAAATATATCAAAATGGATTCTATTGTCATGTATAACTAAAAAAACACATAAAAATAAAAAAGTCAAACATTTGCAATTTGTGGACTTATGACAATTGTGCCTTGATAAACCATTTCAGCATAAGAATAGTACTAGGTAATCTCAAATTCCTTTCCAAAATGCTTTTAACAACATATACTCACACTAATAGTGCTTAAAACTTCAGGTGTTCTATACCTTACCAGCTTCAATAAGAAATTTAAGAGTTGAGTCTTGTCTTCTCTGTTGTTATGATATACTTCCATGGTATCTCTTGATAGAGAATATGTAAAGGTGGGAATTTTTATCTTTAATACTTCATATGCTTTTCATATTGTGTAAAATTAGTTATAATCAAGTGAAAATATGCATCTTCTTAGTTTCCATATTAATGCTTTAATGGTGGAAATCATTTTGACTATTAAAAGCTTGTTCTTTTCCATATTTGTTCTCCATGTAAATAATAATTGACTATAAAATTCTGTAGGTGGTACCACAGCAGTTGATGAGAATTTGTCTCATTTTTGGTTTTGCATTTTGCTTTGTTTAAACATGGCTCTTGAGAATTACAAATATGTAATCAGAGAGATTTAGAATGAGGATAATTTCCATTGTGTTTCACTTTATTTTGTGGAGTATCTGGTGTCTAGGAATTGTCATCTTCTATGACTATAACCTTTGCTGTCTTGCCATTAAGCAGGTATCAAGCTGTTGGTGAAATGAGACCTGAAAGAATTCTAGGATATATTAAAATAGAAGTACTTGCTTTGTTTGAATATATTTACATATTTAAACATCTTTGAATGAGGGGTCTATCTATCTTTTAATAATATGTATTTATCTACTGAATTTTATAATTTTTGTCCCCTAGCTATTTTGATAACTAAGAGTAAACTATGGAAACATGAATATAGCAGAAAATTAAGAAATGATCTTACAGAACATTGAAATCTCAACCATTAACACATACCTCTATTTCTTTTGTTTATTTTTCATGTCTCCTCTTTTCTTCTTCAAGAAAACACATTTTTCAATGATTCCTTTACAAATATAATTTCATTCTTTAGCTTTGAAATATCTTCCTATATATTTATTAAATTTAAAATATACAAGTCAGAGAGGAATGGTCAATACTATAAATCCACAATTTTCAGTGTTGCCATATTTTAAGAAAGCTGGATAAATTAAATTTTAATTTTGATACATTGGATTAGAATATTACTTTTATAGGTATACTGGACAAATAACTGCTATTCAAACAAAGCTACCTTATTTTGAAAACTCGGAAGTAAAAACAAATTAAGACAAAAGAAAGTGGTATTTATGGTGGCATTTTCCTGACAACAATGCAAAGGATACTTAATTATCTAGCAAAAAAATATATTTTAAGTTTGTACTTTTTATGGTCTTAAAAGAATAGTAAGAGAAATACAAAGATGCTTAAGGTACAATTATTAATTCAGATTCAACCTTTTCTGAATTATAATTTCTGCAACAAATGGATTAAGTGTTCAATGTGATTTTGACTATATATTTTTAGAAACACAGTGTAAATATTTCCTTTATGCATGTGCACATTTGAGATAGTTGTTATGTTAACTCATGTACTTATGGAAGTACTTAAAAATTGTGAAAATAGTTTCGGAAGGTTATTAGAGAGCATTTTACTAAGTTAATAATAAATGTATTATTTAATATATTCTTATAATGTGAATAATAGAAAAGGTTTTGATAAGTAACAGTTCAAACATGTACTTGTGTCATTTGGTTCCCTCCTGGATTTTGGAGATCTTGCGTAAGTTCCTCTTTCATTGTCTTTAGTTTTTTAACTAGATCTTGTTTTGCACAGAGTTCAGTCATAAATGACCATTGGCTTTCTATCTCCCCCAAACTATCTTTATGTGCTTTTATTTTTGCATGATAAATCTTATATTTTATCATGTGCTCCTGAAAATCTTCTTGGGAGATTTTGATATCAAACTTAAGCTTCACATTGTCTGTATATAAGGACTTGTTTTGAGATTCTGGGTTTCCACATTGAAGTCTGGAATTCTCTATGGCAGCATCCTCCTGATAAATTTGCCTCTCCATTACTTTAGTTTCTGCAGAGACAGCTGCTATTTGTGTTTTAAGCTCATGAGTTCATTCTATAATATAGTTCAACATTATCATTATTAATTCATGGTATTTAGCATAAGAGGAAAGTAATTGTTTTGATCCATAATGCATGTAGGAAAATCACTTAACATAAAAAAATACACTTATGAGATATAGAAAAAAACTGATGCATAATAGAAGGAAATATGTAATAATGTAACAATTACTTTCTAAGAAAGAACCCAGAGTTATGTATTTCTTACTTTTTAATGTTCATCTAATTCTAAATGTTAAAATTTCATCATTTTGTTTTAACATTTTACATGTAAAAAATACTTAAAATCATTTAATAATACATTTAAAGAATATATTTATGGGTGTCAAGGAAGACAATATAATAAAAATGATATAACCCTGACTTAAGATTGGGCTTAAAAGACTGGGCTGCTGCCACAGACCCTGCTGCAGTGCCATCAGGTCTCTTCTCTGGGCACAGCCTCCAGGTCTCTTCTCTGAGCACAGCCTCCATTACTTCGGAGGCAATTCTGTAACTACCTCTGTGGTCACTACTGCTGAACTGGAGGTTTCCTGTCAATCAACTGTTGCCTGCACTGCTGCAGCCATTGCTGCTTCCTCTGATTCTGCTGGTGCCAGCCTGAGATTGCCCGGAGGTCTTCTTTCTGAGGGCTGCTCCCACAGAAGAAACCACTGCCATGGATGCAACTGAAACCAACACTGCTGCTGACCCTTGGAGATTGCCTGGAGACAATGGCCCCACAGCTGCAATTGTAGCTACGTCTGCAGTCACGCTACTGCTGACCCACTGCCTGATGCCAACAACACCACCACTACCATTGCTACCACGGCCTAGAGGACTGCTTAGGGGAACACTCCAGGTTTGGTTGAATGTGACTATATCCATTTTGGGACACCAGCCAGGGCCTGGAGTCTGGATGCCAGCAGGTTTACCACCACAAGAGCTTCAGTCTGGGGACTCCAGATGGGACCTGCAGGCCCAATGTGGAGGTTCCTCAGGTTTGGGGGAGCCTAGCGTCTTCCTGCTGAGAGCACTGGTGGTCATTGTCTTGCTGCTGCTTCTCCTTTGCATGAGTGTATCCCTAGTGGTCTCTCTGCAAGTAGGAGCAGCATTGAGATCTTGAGACTGCAACATGGCCAATCCTGAGGTATCTAGATCCTAGATCAGTAGGACAGAGACTGGGTTTATGAGGGATAATCTGGATTTAGTGATCCCAAGAGATGCCAGGGACAAGGCTGAGAAACTGTTGAACACTGACAGAGACAGTTCAACTGTCCAGCAAGACTTATTTTATTTTTTGATTCACTAATCTCTCTACCATATTTGAAACAAAAATTTTTTATGCATCAGTTTATGGAGGACAATGATATATGATTAGTATTTTGCATTTTTGTTGTATTCTTATGTCTTTAATCTTTTCTCTTTGTTCATATTCTTCCTCTCTCTAGTATATTTTCTAGGATTTTCTTTCCAACTTTTCTCTAAACAACAGCCAATCTCTGTCAGCTACTGTTCCACTCTTCCTGTGAATTTTTACTTCTAGTTTCTATCTTTCTCCATTGGTAATATTGAGTACTATACTACCTCTGTTCTCTCATCCACCATTTGGAATTGTAAATCATTTTAACAAATATTCTGCTTATACTATAGATAGTTATTGAACTCATTATTTTGGTTCAATGTGAGAAATCAATAGACACCTTAGTGGGAACTATTAGGTTTAAGGCTATATATTGTGTTCATTGGGTGGTATTGATACCACCAATGAACACATATACCAGTAAAGGCAAAGCACTAGAAACCTTCAGGGACATTATAGGTCTACAGATAGAATTTATCTTGCATTAGATCCATACTTTTAGTGGGAAAATACACTAACAACATGAAAAAACAAGGGAATAAATCACCACAAACAAACAAAGATGCTTCAACAACAGAAGCCACTGATAACACATAGAAGAAATGTCCAAGAAGGAGTTAAGATTGTATATAGTTAAACTGATATGTGAAGAAAAGGATAGTATAAGGAGTGAAATCAAAGAAAAAATGCAGGAAGTGAAAGACCACTTCAATAAAGTATATGAGATTGTGGGGAAAAAAATAAGCAGAAATCCTTGAAATGAAGGAAACAGTAATCCAAATTATAAATTCAATAGAATGCATCACCAACAGATTAGACCACTTGGAATATAGAACCTCAGACAATAAAGACAAAATTTATAACCTTGAAAGAAGAGTTGAAATGTGGAGAAGATGGTAAAAAAAAAACATGAACAGAACATCTAAGAATTATGGGATAACATGAAAAGACCAAATTTAAGAGTTATCAGAATAGGTGAAGGAGCAGAGAAATAGACCAAAGGAATGCAAAAGCTTTTCAATGATATAATAGCAGAAGATTCCCCAAACCTAAAGAATGGAATGGAAAGTCAAATACAAGAGGCTTACAGTACCCCAAAAGTACAAATTACAGCAGACCCACATCAAGATACATTGTAATGTGAATGACTAACACAGAATAAAGATAAAATTTTAAAGGCTGTGAGAGAAAAAAATCAAATTATGTTATAGGAGGAAACCAATTCAGATCTCAACTGATTTCTTAGCCCTGACCCTCAAAGCTAGGAGGTCTTGAAATAATATATTACATGCTCTGAAAGAAAATGAATGCAACCAATAATTTTATATCCAGCAAAATTAAGTTTCAGATTTGAAGATGAAATTAAAACATTCCATGATAAACAAAAATTAAATGAATTCACAACTATAAAGCCTACACTACAGAGCATTCTCAACAAAATATTCCATGAGGATGAAGTGAAAAAAAAGTAAAAACCAGCAAAGGGAGGATCTACATTAAAGTGACATTCAACCAAATGAGAAACTAAGACAAATCAAAAGCCAGAAAAAAATCAAAATGAGAGGGAATACAAATCATATCTCAATAATAACCTTGAATGTTAATGGCCTAAACTCATCAATCAAAAGACAGACTGGAAGATTGGATTCAAAAGAAAAACCCAACAATATGCTGTCCTCAAGAGATTCACCTCATGGGCAAAGATATCCATTCATAGGCTGAAGGTGAAAGGATGGGAAAAACTTATCACTCATATGGATTGTGTAAACAAGTGGGGGTTTCCATTCTCATTTCAGATAAAGTAGACTTCAAACCAAAGTTAATCAGAAGAGACAAAGAAGGACATTTCATACTTTTTAAGGGAATTATATATAAGCAGGACATAATAATTATAAATATTTATGCCCCAAACAATGAGAGATCTATATACATCAAACAAAACCTTCTCATTTCAAGAGTCAAATAGACCACAATACAATAATACTGTGTGACTTTAACACACCTATCTCACTACTGGACAGATCTTCCAAACAAAAACTAAGCAAAGAAACTATAGAACTAAATAATACAATCAATAATTTAGACTTAACAGATATATATATATATATATATATAATATTTCATCTATCAATGAACAAATATATTTTTTTCTCAGCAGCACATAGCTCCTTCTCTAAAATAGACCATATATTATGCCACAAAGCAGCAACTCTTAGTAAATACAAACAAACAAACAGAGATAATATGCTGCATTCTATCAGACCACAATGGAATGAAATTAGAAGTCAAGGATAAAATAAAAATAGAAGCTACTGTAACAAGTGTAAACTAAATAATACACAATTGAATGATGTATGGATAGTAGAAGAAATCAAGGATGAAATAAAAAAATTCTTAGAGGTAAATGAGAACACTGATACAAAATCTCTGGGGCACTATGAAGGCAGTATTAAGAGGGAAGTTTATTGCATTGAGTGAATTTATTAAAAGAATAAGAAGTCAACAAGTAAATGACCTAAAACTTTATCTCAAATCCCTAGAAAAAGAAGAACAAATCAACACCCAAATCAGTAGAAGACAAGAAATAATTAAAATAAGAGCTGAAATTAATGAATTGAAACCACAGTAACAATTGAAAAAACTGACAAAACAAAAATTTGGTTCCTTGAAAAGATAAGTAAAAATAGATAAATCCCTTGCCATGCTAATGAAGAGAAAAAGACAGAAAACTCAAATTACTAAAATACAAGATGAAGAAGGAAACATCACAACAGACACATCTGAAATACATAAAATAATTAGAAACTATTTTGAAAATTTATACTCTAATAAAATAGGAAATATCAAAGACATCAACAAATTTCTTGAGATATATGACTTACCCAAACTTAGGATGAGGTCATACATGATTTAAATAGATCAATTTCAAGTAATGAAATAGAAAATGCCATCAAAAGCCTACCAACCAAGAAAAGCCCAGGATCAGATAGATGATGAAAGAAAAACATTCCATGATAAACAAAAGTTTAAAGAATTTACAACTAGAAAGCCTGTGCTACAGGACATTGTCAGCAAAATATTCTGAGAAGATGAAATAAAAAACAACGAAAAAATTAGCAGAAAGAGGTATTACACTAAAGGAAAACCTAATCAGAGGAGAAAACAAGTCACGTTAAATACCAAACATAAACAATAATGGCTGGGAATACAAATCGTGTCTCAATAATAACCGTGAATGTTAGTAGCCTAAAATCACCAAACAACATAGACTAGCAGATTGTATTTAAAAAAACATGTTGCCTCCAAGGGACTCATCTCAAAGAAAAAGACATCCACAGAATGAAGGTGAAGGTTTAGGAAAAATCATACCACTCACATGGACTGCGGAAGCAAGTAGGGATTTTCATCCTCATATCAAATAAAGTAGACTTCAAACAAAAATCAATCTTCTCAGCAAAAGAAACAATCTATGAGATGAATAGAGAGCCTATATGTTGGGAGTAAATCTTTACCCCTCACACATCAGAAAGGGCACTAATCTCTAGGGTATATAAAGAACTCTAAAAGCTAAACATCAAAAAAAATAAAAACAAATAAAAACAAAACAAACAACAACAACAAAAACACAAACAATAACCCAATCAAAAAATGGGCCAAGGACCTACAGAGACAATTCTCAGAAAATGAAATACAGTCAATCAACAAATATATGAAAAAATGTTCATCATCACTAGCAATTAGAGAAATGCAAATCAAAACTGACTCCAGTCAAAATGGCAGCTGTTAAGAATACAAAAAACAATATATGTTGGCAAGGATGTGGGGGAAAAGTAACACTCAATACACTGCTGGTAGGATTGCAAATTGGTGCAATGAATATGGAAAGCAGTATGGAGATTCCTTGACAAGAGGAGAATGGAGCCACCATCTGATCCAGCTTTCCCTCTCCTTGGTCTATACCCAAAGGACTTAAAAAACAGCTTACTACAGGGACACAGCCACATCAATGTTTATAACAGCACAATTCACAATAGCTAAACTGTGGAGCCAAACTAGATGCCCCTCAGTATATGAATGGATAAAAAAAATGTGGCATATATACACAATGGAATTTTACTGAGCAATAAAAGAGAATAAAATCATGGCATTTGCAGTTAAATGAATGGTTTTGGAGAAGATAATGCAAAGTGAAGTTAGCCAATCCCCCCAAAAGAAAAGCCAAATGTTATCTCTGATATTAGGAGGCTGATTCATATTGGGGTAGGGAGGGGGAGCATGGGAGAAATAGACAAACTCTAGATAGGGCAGAGGGGTTGGAGGGAAAGGGAGTCGGAGGGGGTTAGCAAGGATGGTGGAATGTGATAGACATCATTATTCAAAGTACATGTATGAAGACATGAATTGGTGTGAATATACTTTGTATACAACTAGAGATGTGAAAAATTGTTCTGTATATGTACAATAAGAATTGTAATGCATTCTGCTGTCATTTATTTTTTAAAAAATAAAGAGCACTTTGACAACAAATTACATAAACAAATCCAAGAAGCAAAAGATCAACTTTACAGGGAGATAGAGGTTATACAAAAAAAAAAAAAACCAGGAATCCTAGAAATGAAGAAAATAATAAACCAAATTAAAGACTCAAATAAGAGTATCACCAGCAGAGTAGAACACTTAGAAGATAGAACATCAGACAATGAAGACAAAGTATATCATCTCAAAAAGACTGTAGACAACATAGTAAGACTGATAAGAAACCATGAGCAGAACATCCAAGAAATTTGGGATAGCATAAAGAGACCAAATTTAAGAGTTATTTGGATACAGGAAGGTATAGAGGTCCAAACCAAAGGAATGAGCAATCTGTTCAATGAAATAATATTAGAAAACTTCCCAGACATGAAGAATGAAACAGAAATCCAAATCCTAGAAGCCTATAGGAGGCTGAATGTGCAAAATCACAAGAGATCCACATGAAGACAATTATAATGAAGATGTCCAACATACAGAACAAGGAGATAATTTTAAAAGCCACAAGAGAAAGGAAACAGATTACATTTAGGGGTAAACCAGTTAGGTTAATGGCTGATCTTTCAACACAGACTCAGAAAGCTAGAAGATCCTGGAATAACATATTTCAAATGCTGAAAGATAATGGGTTCCTACCAAGAATCTTGTATCCAGAAAAATTAAGCTTCAAGTTTGAAGATGAAATAAAAACCTTCCATGATAAACAAAAGTTAAAATAATTTGCAGCTAGAAAAACCAGCACTTCAAAACATCCTTGGCAAAACATTACATGAAGAGTAAATGAAAAATAACAATGAAAACCAACAGTGGGAGGTAGTACAGTAAAGGAAAAACTAATCAAAGAGGAAAAACAAATCAAGTTAAATAACAAAAATAAACAAATATGGCTGAAAATACAAACCATATCTCAATAGTAACCCTAAATGTTAATGGCTTAAACTCACCAGTCAAAAGACATAAGCTAGTAGACTGGATTAAAAAAAAAGATCCAACAATATGCTGCCTATAGGAGACTCATCTGATACGAAAAGATATACACAGACTGAAGGTGAAAAGTTGGTAAAAAATCTTACCACTCACATGGACCTCAGAAGCAAGCAGGTGTGTCCATACTCATATGAAATAAAATAGACTTTGAGCCAAAGTTAATCAAAAGGGATAAGGAAGGACACTACATACTGCTCAAGGGAACCATACACCAACAAGACATAACAATCATTAAAATATATGTCCCAAACAATGGTGCAGCTACGTTCATCAAACAAACCCTTCTCAAGTTCAAGAGTCAAATCAATCACAACACAATAATCATGGGTGATTTTAACACACCTCTATCACCACTGGACAGATCTTACAAACAAAAGTTGAATAAAGAAACTATAGAACTCATAAACATAATTAATAACTTAGACTTAATTGACATGTATAGAATATATCAACCAACATCAAGCAGATACACTTTTTTTCTCAGCAGCACATGGATCCTTCTCAAAAAATAGACCATATATAATGTCACAGGGCAACTCTTAGCAAATACAAGTAGAGATACTACCATGCATTTTATCTGATCATAATAGAATGAAATTGGAAATCAGTGATAAAATAAAGAAGAAAAATTCCTGTACCACATGCAGAATGAGCAATATGCTACTGAATGAACAATGGGTTACAGAAGACATCAAAGAGGAAATTAAATATTCTTAGAGGTAAATGAAAACCCCAATACAACATATCAAAATCTCTGGGACACTATGAAAGCAGTAGTAAGAGGAAAATTCATTGCATGGAGTTTATTCTTTAAAATAAGAAAAAGCCAAAAAATAAATGACCTCACACTACATCTCAAAGTCTTAGAAAAAGAAGAATAAATCAGCAGCAAATGCAGTAGAAGGCAATAAATAATTAAAATCAGAGCTGAAATCAATGAAATTGAAACAAAAGAAACAATTGAAAAAATTGACAAAACTAAAAGCTGGTTCTTTGAAAAAATAAATAAGATTTACAGACCTTTAGCCATGCTAAGGAAGAGAAGGAGAGAGAGAACCCAAATTACTAGCATATGGGATGAAAAAGGCAATACCACAACAGACAATACAGAAATACAGAAGATCATTAGAAATTATTTTGAAACCTTATATTCTAATAAAATAGAAGATAGTGAAGGCATTGATAAATTCCTTAATTCACATGATCTGCCCAGATTGAGTCAGGAAGATATACACAACTTAAACAGATCTATATCAATCGAGGAAATAGAAGAAGCCATCAAAAGATTACCAACCAAGAAAAACCCAGGACCAGATGGATATACAGCCAAGCTTTACAAAGATCTTTAAAGAAGAACTAATTCCAATACTTCCAATACTCTACAATCTATTTCAAATTCCAAAATTCATTCTACGAGGCCAATATCACCCTGATTCCAAAACCAGACAAAGACAGCTCAAAGAAAGAAAACTACAGACCAATATCTCTAATGAATATTGATGCAAAAATCCTCAATAAAATTCAGGCAAATTGGATTACAAAAACATATCAAAAAGATTGTGCACCATGATCAAGAGGGATTCAACACCTGGATGCAAGGTTGGTTCAACATACAGAAATCAATAAATATAATTCATCACATCAATAGACTTAAGGATAAGAACCATATGATCATTTCAATAGATGCAAAAAAAACATTTGACAAAATACAGCAACCCTTTATGTTCAAAACACTAGAAAAACTGGGGATAACAGGAACTTACCTCAACATTGTAAAAGCTATCTATAAGAAGCCTCAGGCCAGCATTATTCTAAATAGAGAAAAACTGAAGGCATTCCCTGTAAAATCTGGAATAAGACAAGGATGTCCTCTCTCACCATTCTATTCAACATAGCTCTTGAAACACTGGCTAGAGAAATTATATGAAAGAAATTAAAGGAATAACTATAGGAAAAAAAGAACTTAAACTAGCACTATTTGCTGATGATATGATTCTATACCTAGAAGGCCCAAAAAACTCTACCAAGAAACTTCTAGAACTAGTAAATGAATTCAGCAAAGTGCAGGATATAAAATCAACACCATAAATCAAAGGCATATCTGTATATCAGTGACAAATCCTCTGAAAAGGAAATGAAGAAAACAATATCCTCAAAAAAAAAAAAACCTTGGGAATCAACCTAACAAAAGAGGTGAAAGATCCTTACAATGAAAACTATAGAACCCTAAAGAGAGAAATAGAAGAAGACCTTAGAAGATGGAAAGATCTACCTTGCTCATGGATAGGCAGAATTAATATTATTAGAATGACCTTACTACCAAATGCACTATACAGGTTCAATGCAATTCTGATCAAAATCCCAATGTCATTCCTCATACAAATAGAAAAAGCAATCATGAAATTCATCTGGAAAAATAAGAGACCCAGAATAGCTAAAGCAATTCTAAGCAGGAAGAGCGAAATAGGTGGCATCACTATGCCAGACCTTAAACAATATTACAGAGCAATAGTAACAAAAACAGCATGATACTGGCACCAAAACAGGCTAGTAAACCAATGGTACAGAATAGAGGACACAGAGACTAACCCACAAAATTACAACTACCTTACGTGCCAAAACCATGCACTGGAGAAAAGATAGCATCTTCAACAAATGGTACTGGGAAAACTGGAAATCCATATGCAACAAAATGAAATTGAATCCCTATCTCTCACCATGCACAAAGGTTAACTCAAAATGGATCAAGGATCTAGGGATTAAACCAGAGACTCTGCGTATAATAGAAGAAAAAGTAGTCCCTAATCTCCATCACTTGGAGCTAGGCCACAACTTCCTTAATAAGATGCCTATAGCATAAGAATTAAAACCAAAAATCAACACATGGGACGGATTCAAACTAAAAAGTTTTTTCAAGCAAAAGAAATAATATGTGAGGTGAATAGGGAGCCTACATCCTGGGAACAAATTTTTACCCCTCACACATCAGATAGAGCTCTAATCTCTAGGGTATATAAAGAGCTGAACATGATAAGCACCAAGAAAACAAATAATACAAACAATAAATGGGCCAAGAACCTGAACAGACACTTCTCAGAAGATGATATACAATCAACCAACAAATATACAAAAAGTGCTCATCATCTCTAACAATCAGAGAAATGCAAATTAAAACTAAAAATTAAAGATACCATCTCACTGGAGTAAGAGTGGCAGCCATTATGAAGACAAACAACAAGTGCTGGAGAGGATGCGGGGGAAAAAGGTACACTCATACTTTGCTGGTGGGACTGCAAATTGGTAAAGCCAATTTGGAAAGCAGTATGGAGATTCCTTGGAAAACTGGGAATGGAACCACCATTTGACCCAGCTATTCCTCTTCTCAGACTATACCCAAAGGACCTGAAAACAGCATATTACAGGGACACAGCTACATCAATGTTTATAGCAGCACAATTCACAGTAGCTAAACTGTGGAGACAATCTAATGTCCTTCAGTGGATGAATTGAGAAAAAAAATGTGGCATTTATACACAATGGAATATTACTCGGCAATAAAAAATAATAAGATCACGGCATTTTCAGGGAAATGGATGGCATTAGAGCAGATTATGCTAAGTAAAGTTAGCCAATCCCAAAAAAACAAATGCCGAATGTCTTCTCTGATATAAGGGGGTGACTCAAAATGGGGTTGGGAGGGAGAGCAACGGAAGAAGATTACCTCTAAATAGGGAATGGGGGGGAGGGAAAGGGAGGGAGAAGCAGAATAGCATGGATGGTGAAAGGAGATTCTCATCATTATACAAAATTCATGTATGAAGATATGAATTTGGTGTCAACATACTTTATATATAATCAGAGATATAATAAATTATTTTATAATGGTGTATTAAAATTGTAATGTTGGAATGGGATTGTGGTTCAGTGGTAGAGCACTCACCTAGCATGGGTGAGACCCGGATTCAATTCTCAGCACCACATAAAAAATAAATAAATAAATAAATAAATAAAAAGGCATTGTGTTGTGTCCATCTACAAAAGAGATTCTCTCTCTCTCTCCCCTTTAAAAAAAGTATTGTAATGCAAAATAAATAAATTTTTAAAAATATATAAAATATTTGTTAATCAGAATATCAGAGATACAATTAAAAGAAGAATCAAAATCATGAATCAATAAATGGGATGAACTCAAAACTAAAAGATTTCTTCTCAGAAAAAGAAACAATCTGTGAGGTGAATAGAGAGCCTATATCTTGGGAGTAAATCTTTACCCCTCACACAACAGTTAGAGCACTAATCTCTAGGATATATTAAGAACTCAAAAAGATAAACACTAAAAAAACAAATAACCCTATCTATAAATGGGCCAAGGACCTGAACAGACACTTCTTAGAATATGATGGACAACCAATCAATAAATATATGAAAAAATGTTCATCATCAGTAGCAATTAGAGAAATGCAAATCAAAACTACTCAAAGATTTCATCTCACTACAATCAGAATGGCAGCTATTATGAAGACAAACAACAATAAGTATTGGCAAAGGTGTAGGGAAAAAGGTACACTCATATACTGCTGGTGGGAGACTGCAAATTGGTGCAGCCGATATGGAAAACAGAATGGAGATTCCTTGGAAAATTGGGAATGGAACCACCATTTTACCCTGCTATCCCTCTCCTCACTCTATATCCAAAGGACTTAAAAACAGCATATTACAGGGACACAGCCACATCAATGTTTATAGCAGCACAATTCACAGTAGCTAAACTGTGGAACCAACTTAGATGTCCTTCAGTAGATGGATTAAAAAATGTAGCATGTATACACAATGAAATATTACTCAGCAATAAGAGAGAATAAAATCATGGCATTTGTAGGTAAATGGATGGAGTTAGAGAAGATAATGCTAAGTGAAGTTAGCCAATCCCCAAAAACCAAAAGCCAAATGTTTTCTTTGATATAAGGAGGCTAATTCATAGTGGGATAGGGAGAGGGAACATAGGAGGATAAAAATAACTCTAGATAGAGCAGAGTGGTTAGAGGGGAAGGGAGGGGGCATGGAGGTATTAATGATGGTGGAATGTGATGATCATTATTATCCAAAGTACATGTAGAAAGACACAAATTGATGTGAATATACAACCAGAGATGGTGCTATGTATGTGTAATAAGAATTGTTATGTATTCTGATGTCATATATATAAATTTTAAAAAACTTAAAAAAAAAAAAGCTTTTGCTAGAATAGTATCTGCTAATACCCCAGTTAGTCACATCATCAAACTCAGAGTCAAGGGGTAGAAGTATGTCTACCCATGAGCCAAGAGCATTATGATAATATAGGAAAGGGTATGGATAAAAATTGGGAACAAAAATGCAAATTAACATAACTTTATATTCCCTCAAGTACTTAACAGTAAGACTTTGAGAGATGTACTTAGTTTCTCCTTTACTTTATATCTAACTGTTCATCAAATTCTATAGATCCTCCAAACAAAATAATTGTAGGCCATCTGCATTCTTTTTTTCTGTCTAGATGCTCTTTCTCTTTAAATGAAGTTTTAATGTTGGGAGGAAGGTATTGTATTAAAAAGGCAATATCCTTCAATTTTTTTTCTGACAGAGACAAAAAAAGGTAAGTACACTGAAAAGTACAGTACACTGGTGAAACTCAATTTTTGTCTTCAGTGCTAATATTTCAAATGCCCACTTGACATTTCTGTTTAGGTGTCTAATAGACACTTCAGTTAGATATATTCAGAAAATATTTAATTACACACTGTGTTAGGTTTGACCAAAATACCCAAAGATAACGATGGAGAGGAGGAAAAGTTTATTTTGGCTCATGGTCTCAGAGGTCTAGTCCATTCCTCTGGGCCCAACTGAGGCAGGAAATCATCATAGAAGTGGGTGGTGGAAGACATGGAGGCTAGGAAGTAGACAGAGGAAAGTAGGAAGGAAGTCACAGGGATGATGAACCCTTCCAGGGCACTTCCCCAGTGACCTACCTCCTTCAGCCAAACCCCAGCTGCCTACAGTTACCATCCAGTCCATTCACACTAGGACGGACCAATTAGAAGGTTAAAGCTCTCACAATCCAATCATTGCACCTCAGAACATTCCTGCACTAACACAGGAGCTTTTAGGGGATACCTTATATACAAACCACACCACACACCAAACAAGTTCCCTCTCTAGTCCTTCTGATTCCAATATACTGCACCATTTTCCACCTGGATACTCAAAAGCCAAAAAGTTATTCTTAATTTTTCTATTTCCCTTACTCCACAATCTACTTCCCAACAAAATGTGAGAATTGGTTCTCTAACATAAATCCCTACATTTACTTCTGGCCAATCTTTGTAGTATGGCCTAATTTCTAGTTCATCTTCCTATTTTCATTCTTGTCATTCTCTTAGGCTCCATTTATCAGGAAGAAGGATCTTTTAAAGACATTTATCATATCACGCTACTTCCATGCTCAAGATTCTCCAGTGGTGTCCCATGGCATTAATAATAAAATTCAATTTCACTGAAATGGCTTATACAGCCTTACCTTATATGCTCTAGTACCTATTTACTTTGCTATCTTTCCCATCTATTATTTTCCCTTCTTTTAGCCCCCTTTCTGCTTATTAAATATGCCTAATTCCTTCCTAAGAGAATTTGTAATTGTTAATCCATCTACCTTAAACCTTAGGTAGAACACTTACCTAGCAAGCATGAGGCCCTGGGTTCAATCCCTAGCACCACATTATAAAAATTCTCTAACCCTACTGGTTCTTTGTCACAATTCAGCTTTATTACTATTCCTCCAAATAGTCTTCCTTAATTCAAAAATATAAATTAACCACCCTTTCTCCTCCCCAAGTTACTCTCTACACATTACCCTATTTTATTTTCTTTGGAACCCATCAGTCTCTAAAATTTTATCTATATCTATATCTATATCTATCTATCTATCTATATATATATTTTTTTTTTAAGAAAACTTCTTTATTTTTTGTCTCCCCTAACTATAAAGTAACTCCACAGCTGTAGGAATCTTTTCTGTCTTTATCACCATGTTTCCAATGCTTAAGAGAGTACTAGCACAAAGTAGGTACTCACATGGTCAGGAAAGAGACAGGTGTTCTGTCAGTCACATTAGGATATCAACTCTATTTATTCATACAGGGAGAGGAGATGAACACTACTTTGGTCATCATACTCTCTCTTTTCTGAACTAATGTTACAGGTTGTTAAATTTTATTACTAGCTTTACGATATTTTTCCTTCAATACATCCATCCTTAAATTACTACCATTACTCCTTCCTCTTCTTCCTCCTTTTAATCAGGCTCTCCTCTCCTCCTCTTCTTTTTGATTTATCTTCTCCCTTTTCTCACTCTTATTTGCTCCTTTGCTTTAGCTTTTTGAGGCAAAATAGCTATAAAGAAACCATACATACTGAAATTCCAATTTGATGAGTTTTTTATGTTCATGAAGACATCATGACAATTAGGAAAATAAACATATCCATTACCCCCAAACATTTTCTCCCTTTTTTTCTTTTCTTTTCCTTTTCCTTCTTACCTACTTTCCTTCCTTCCTAGGAATTTTCCTTCCAAAGAATTTTCCTGGCATGAGGTTATTTAAGTGTTCCTCTAGTATCTGATAAAGAATTTTTTTCTTTTCTTCTTTCTTTTTTCTTTTTCTTTCTTTCTTTTTTTTTTTTTTTTTTGAATGAGGTAACTCTCAATGGGCTTCTAGAGAGCTTCAGGATGGGGATTGGCTATCAGGAAGGCCTAGACCTGATTAAAGTTCTGGAACTCAGCCTTATCTACACTGCTGTAACCTCTTGGGACAGGAGAGAGGCTAGAAGCTGAACTAATAATAAATCAAGCTTACATGATGTAAACTCCATAAAAAAAATCTCTTAAATGATGGAGACCTTCCAGGTTGGTGAATACATCCAGGTTCTAGGAAGGTGGTGTGCTCCATATGATAGTTCTTTACAAGTCCCTTCCCAGTACTTTGTCCTGTGCATCTTCTCCGTTTGGCTCTTCCTGAATTGTATCTTTTATAATAAACTAGTAATAGTAAGTAAACTGCTTTCCTAAATTCTGTGATTCACTCTAGCAAATTATTAAGCCTTGAGTATGGATGGGGGTAGACATGAGAAACCCTCATTATGGTCTGGATCTGGTATTTTCCCTGAAGTCTCATTTCTTGAAGGCTTAGTCCTCAGTACAGCAAGGTTCAGAGGTGGGCTTTTAGAAAATGATTGATCATGAAGGCTCTGATGTCATGGAGGGAATAATCCACAGACGGCTTCATGGACTACTGGGAGGTGGCAGGAACTAAAGGAAGATGGGGCATTTAGGAGGATATAGATCACTGGGGCACCCCTGGGGACTATCTGTCCTAGGCACCTACTTTTCTCTGTGCTTTCTGACTGCCATGGGCTAAGTACCTTTCCTCTGCCACACTTTGTTCCATTACATTCCTGCCTTGGAGCCAGATGACCACGGGTTGAAATCTCTGAAACCATGAGCCAAAACAAAGCTTTCCTATTCTAAGTTATTTTTCTCAAGTATTTATGATAGTGATAAAAAACTGACTAAAATACCCCTGATTTATAGTCAGTTGGTCGGAAGTATGAGTGTATAAGTAGTCTGGGAATTATAATTGACATTGGAAATCAGGAAGCCTTGTGGGGATGACTCCTTTAACTTGTGAGATCTGATGCTAACCTCAAATAATATCAGAATTTAATTGAACTGTTCAATATGCAGTTGACATTGGGGGAATCAGAAAATTGTTTGTTGTGTTGGAAAATATCCAAAGTAGTATAAGACTTCCAACATTGTTCTTCAAAATTATTTTGGTGTTCTAGGTCCTCTTTTGTATTTCCATACAACTTTTAGAAATCAGCCTGTCAATTACACAAAGAGCCAGCAAACAACAACAAAACCTTTTGGTATTTTGACTAGTATTAGTTTTAATCTATAAGTAAACCTAGGAGAACTGACATCATAATGCAGTGGTGTCTGATTTACAACATACTGTCTGTCTCCATTTATTTAAGTGTTGTTTAACTTTTCTCATCATTATTTTGCATTTTCAACATATAGATTTGATAAACCTATGTCAAAATGATCCCTAAGTATTTCATAATTTTGGTATTATTGTAAGTGGCATTTATTCTAAATTTTTAATTTCTGAAAATTATAGAATTTTATATATTTCTGCCAATACATAGAAAGACAATGGTTTTATATTCATTTAGTTAGTCATATTCACAAAATGCAGTTACATTTAGTTATGCTGCATGCAAAGACCAAGAATGGCTTCCATGTTCCTGATAGTGGGCTGTTGAATATATTGTAGAAGGCAAGGGATAGGGGAGGGTGCTTGAAATGTTCACTGACAACTAATTTTTCACAAGCCATAGCTTTTAAAACACTGGCTTACAATGTAAGCTTCATTGAATTCAGTATTTTAGGAAAAATTATCAGATTAAATGAATTTAAAATGATTCTATATGACATGTTAGGTTTCATACACTTATTCTATAATTACAATGACATTGGTGAATCTTTATACTGTATTGGAAATATAAAATATTCCATAAACCTGGAATACTCATGTGAATTTTACTTAGAACAGAAAAACTGAAAGAATGAGTAGGAATTTGAAATTGATTCCCAATATGAAGTTCCCTTAAAACCTTCTGTCACTAATAATATTTTGAAGACATTTAAAAGATTATATGAAATAAGTTACCTGCAAATGAAACAGAATGTTTCTGTTTCTTTCTATTTCTGATGTTTATGATTGTTGTTGTTTTGCAACTTGCTCTACAACTTCAGTTAATGATGATGTGTCTTGTTTACCCACAGTTAGACAAAAGAATAAAATGTATGAGAAGAACTAAATGCAGACATTTTAAGACACTTATATTTCTTTACTGGAACATGAAAAATTAGGTGTTTTTTTCTGATTTATAAGAAAAGTACATTTAGGATTGGTAATCCTCCCTGATTCTAGACAAAACCAAAATCAAAGACAATAATAGTAGGCAATTCAAAGTTGCCTACTGCAAATGCCATAACTGTTCTTTTATGGAAGAGTATAAATATTTTGATTGTACTAATTTTTTTTATCTGGACCACTTGCACATATACTATAATTATGGTGCCACCACAACAACTCAATGGCAATTATAGTTGATGGATTTTAAACATAGGCCTGTATTTTCAGGTTGTTATGCCTTTTTCTAAACACTGAGTATGTTTCTTCCTGGTGAAATATAACTGCCTCCTTCTACTTTAATTTATTATTCCTGCTAATATAATTATCCTTTTGTACAATTTTTGTTGATGATTTTTTAATTATTTATTTCTTAAGATGGATTCACTATCTTCTTTAGGAACTCCTTCACTCTTCCTTTCCTTACTTCCTGACATTCTCATTGTCTGTAATCTCCTCTTTTCCACTGTCTGGCTCATCTTCTTTACTCCTACAAAAACATCTATATTGTTATAAATTGTCAAACATGTCACAGGAATGCAATGACATTTCACCCCTGGAACCAGTAATTAAAAGACAATGATTAAGTGAGAGATTTGGGAAGGAAAGTTGAACCGTATTTGAATCTTGGTTCTCCTGCTTTTCAGCTGTTATGACTCTGAGTAATTTTCTTCTTTGATTCCCAGTGTCCTCATCTCTGCACCCTCATAGGGTTGTTGTAATAATTACCACACACATGCGCGCGTGCACACACACACACACACACACACACACACACACAATTGGTGAGAATTAGTTCTAATAGCACTCCTGTCCAGTGTCATTTTGGTCAGGGTAAGATCTAAGCAGGTTGAAAATTATGTGTCAGTGTACTTGATTTAGAAATAACTGATAAGATGAAGGAGTACATATTTTTCTCCATTGAAAGATGAAGAGAAAATTGTTCCAACATAATAATGCTGAGTTGGTAGAAGTAAGGGCATTATTGGCTTTAGTACAAAAGGTCTCCAAATCTGCCTGTCCATTCCTACTCAGAGAAAATGGTTCAAGTTTTTATGATATGTAATGGAATCCAATGTCAATAAGTACTTTTGAAATTGGAAGTTGCCATCTCCCATTAAACATAAGGGTTTTTCTATTCAGATGACTGATCCTTTTTAAAAAATTCTTCATTGATTTATATAGAAACTGTGCATCTTCACAAATTGTACTCAGGTGATTACAAGCTTTGCAAGAATAAAAAAGAAAGAAATATCATAAAGTAAGAAACATGCTAGGAAATGTTGAAAATCACTAAATGATTTTCTAAAAATTATAGACAAAGTACTCACGTATTCGTCACACGTGTTTTAAAGAATTAAAACATGATATATAAACAAAAAGAGAGAAAAACATAGTTAAATTGTTTCCTACCTAGGGAGATTTAAGTCTATCCAGAATATCCTACCATGCAAAAGAAAGTCTGAGAGCTTAACTAGCAGATTGTTATAATCACCCCTGAGAATTTATGATTCTTTCCTGTCTCTTCAGGTCACTTCCTTCATATCTCACCTCAAATGTATCACTTTCCTGAAGTCTTTCCTGATGCTGAGTCCATTTACTCCGTTCATGACATTATTCTAAGTCCTTTCCTCCTAGAACACAGAACTGTCCCAGATCAGTGCTAACAAATCCAAATCTGATTTTCTCCTGAACTCTTTAGTTTGCCTTTCCTGCTTGAAAACAACATCCTTAATTCTGCCTACCTAACATGAAAATGAATGCCTTTATACTTTCAGACAGTTCTCTCCATAAGTATTTATATTGTGCTTGCTTTATGCCAGACATTGTTATGAGTGGTTTAGATAAAACAACAACAACAATAATGACAACAAAACTATATTACATAGTGTTTATGTTGTACCTGGCTGTATTCTAAGAACTTTACAAATATTAACTCAATGGGCTCTATGATGTAGATATTATCATTGTTATTATAATTTCATTTTGCAGACATGTACAGTGAGGCACAAATAGATCAAGAAACTTAACTGAATCCAGGTAGCTATTGAGATGTGATTTAAATTCAGTTATTTTGGGCTCCAAAGTTTATGCTCTTAAACTAATCTACCAGGAATATATTTTAAGGGCAGAATTATATCTTTATCCCTCCAGAATCAAATTGAACTACTCTTTTGTAGTCACTGTTTTTCTTTAATCATTTTTTTCCCATTACTGGGGACTGAACTTGCAGCCTCTGTGCCTAGTAAGAACATAACTCCACCACTGAGCTACATCCCCATACATTCCCAGTCCCCAACTTCCTTCTTTCTATTCCCTTTCCTACACCTTTTTCTTCTTAGGTGAAATATTTCAATAAAGGGCAGGGATGGAGCTGCTGCAGTTCCTGGAGACTTTCCCTGGCCTCAATATCATAATTTGCATGACTGAAGAGGGAACCCTGTGAGTTCTGCATGTTCCTCCTAAGTTCTTGCTAGCTAAATTGCTTTCTTGAGAGTCCCTTCTCTTTCCTCCAAATCAGTGTCATTTCCATAATCAAAGACACTGTGATCACTGTTCCCATTATACTCTGTTTCCCTAGGGCTCATTCCTTGTCATGAAGACCCATCCATATTCACTTGGCAAGTACCTAAATTTGATGTTGTGTTACCTACTCCCCAACCTTTTTATAATGCTTTCATTGTAGTCTCTGAAATTAAGGTCCATCTTCAGCAAAAATCCTATCTTTCACAATTTCAGTGAACTTTCCCTTCACCTTTTGGCTTTAACTGAAATCTAAAGATATTGCTTCTTCATCCTCAAATCATTACTAAATCTGTAGGTAAGGCATTGTTCCTGTTCCCTGTTGGCACTGCCAAACTAGGATCCTTCTCTTCTGTTTAAAACCTCTGGTTTCTCTGAAGTTCATGTCATCATACTAAGCTTTACCTGCATTGTTGTTATTGATATTTACTTCTCTCCTCCTTACTCCTAGATTATAACTTCTGACTGTTTCTGCATCATTTTCCCCTTTACATTTCCCTGGAGTTTCCATGTCACACAGATGGCAAATCAAATACCCTGGCCTGAGTTCCTTGATGTCTTCTTTCATCCATTCTCCCCAACCACCCACAGATTATAATAGTACCTCATACATTATTTCAAATGCAATTTGAAATTAATTTTCTAATTCATTCCATTCAGTATTTTAAGAGTTGTTGAATCACACCAAGACTTCCAATCCATTAACACTTCTATCTTTGCCTGATCCTTCATCTCTTTGTGTATTCTTACCTCCTTATCTGGGTTAGATTCCTTTGCATTCACCGCCCCCACTTCCCTTAGAGCTCTTTCCTTGACCTTCTTCCTGGAAAAATCCAAACAGTTGCTTCACTTATGCTCAAGTAGCTGAATATGTTTTTTTTTTAAATACACAAATGTGCTATGTTCTCTTTTTAAATTCAAGGCAATTCATGTCAAGTGGGCCCTGGATTGTAGACCCTTAGAATTTATCGAATTTTATGGATGGTTATTTCATTCCTCCTCTGACTTCAAACCTCCTACATCTATTTTCCCTTTTCAGCTGATAACCTACCTTCCTATTTAACTTAGATAATAGAAAATATTAGATAATAAAAATATCATATAATAGAAAATATCAGAGGTTTTAAATTATTCATCTACTAGTCTTTCTGAACCTGTACCCATATACTAGTCTATTCTTTTCTTACAATGAATAAAGCGTCCTTGCCAGTCCTCTGCTCTTGGATTTTCTCATCTTTTCAAGGGCATTGTTTGAATGTTCCCTCAACATAATTCCCCTCTTTATTTGGCCATATGTGTCATCCTGAATGACTCCCACCTACCAACACCAGCACCCTTGCTTTGATTCTGTAACTCCTGTCAGCTACTCAACCATTTTTTGTTCCCATGTATAGGCAACAAATACATTCTGTTCAATTCTTTTCCCTTCATTTCTACTTGAAACCAGTAGAATCAAACAGTTGCCACTCCACATTTTTAAAGCTCTTATCTGACCTCCATGTTGTAACATTCAATGGATAAGTTCAATCTCCCTTTCATTTGACCTAATAGCATCATTTGACAAATTTGATCTGACCACCTTCTCTGAAAAACCACACTTGGTTTCTTTTGCTGATTCCTTCTCATCTTTCTCACTTGTTGGAATGTTTCAGGGCTCAGTTCTCATCTACTTTTCTCATATACATGTTACTGGTTGTGCCACCCACTATCCAGTTCTACAGCTTTAAAATCCATTTATAGATTAACAACTCCAAAATTTGTGTCTGTAGACTGAATATCCTTCTTGAAGTACAGACTCAGGCCAAATGGACTACTTGTTATCTCCACTTGGAATTTAAAAGGCATTTCAAATTAATATGTTCCAAATTGAATTCTGGTTCCCTTTTCCACTCAATCACCACCACTAAAGCTGCTCTTTCATATTTTTTTCCATCTCAGTAAGTTACAAGTTTATTTTTCTTGTTAAAGCCAAACCTCCAGATTAATTATCAAAGAAGTATCTAGAAAGGTAGAAACTACAGGGCAATTCAACCAGACCTGCCCCAGATAGTCATAAAGGAGAGATCATTGTTGTCATTTCATAGGCCCTTTGGGAAATATTTGAAGACACCCCACAGGTAAGCTGTCTAAGGATGTTGCCCCAATTGTCTTATACTTGAGACAGTCTAGTATCTTGGTTTTTTTTATTATCATACATGCAATTTTTTTCATTAATTGATTATATTTTTAAATTCTATTGGAATGTAATCTTTCCTTACCCACCCCCAAATAACTGTCTTAGCAGAGAAATCTTTCCTGATAATGCTCTTAAAAACGTGACCTTATTCTTTCATCTTCTGTTTCCTTGCTTTGCTTAATAGCATTTATTATTACTGACATCTGTTACGTTACCACTGACATCTTTCACATTTATATATTTTCTTTATCCTTCAACTTATGTAAGCTCCATGAGAATAGAGACCCACTACTTCCTGGCACAGAATAGGTGTCTAACTGTGGTCAACCTCTATTCCAATTTACCCTATTCTGACAGAATATAGCCTCTATGACACTCTCTGGTTATGTCAACATCAAAACCAATCTTCTAACTCTACTTGGAGTGGCATTTTAAGAGACATTTCTTAATCTTTCTGGGAATATATGATCTCTGTCTTTAACTCAATTGTTTCTCTGTCTCACAATGATGGTAGATAACATTAGACGTTCTAGAGAAAGATAAAGCTATTTTGATTGAAGTTCTGCCACTTTATAGCTTACTAGGTAAATTATTTCTAACCTTAGCCTCAGATTCCTTATCTCTTCATGGAAACAATAGTACCTTCCTCATTAGTGTTACTCTAAGGACAATGCATGAAATTAAATAATGCATATAAAGCCCTCAGCAAATTCCCACTACATGGTGAGTATTTAACAT